CACACACACACACACACACACACACACACACATTGACAGAGACACACAAACAAACAAACAAACACATTCATGCATCTTACTACAACATATCTACATGTGGAGCAATGATTTACAGACAAAATAGATCAATTATTTCAGAGCTCTGTAACCACTATTAACACTTTTTTTTGACAACAGAATGTACAAATATTATACATCATGTATAAATTATTTATTCTGAGGATGTCAAAACGAAATTCTTAAAATTACTAAATAATCTGTTGAAAAAAGTAAAACAAATTATTTGTAGCAAAGATGAAGACAGCATGCAACAATATTATGTTCTATTCTTTCATCTAGAACAATAAGATTTAACATAACAAAATAAGCTAAGTGTTATTTTTTAACTTAAAACTGATTGCTAAGAAAAATTACTACTTAAAAATGTATTTTAATTTGACCTCAGTGTTACAGAATTCTGGGTTCAATAATAAATTGTATGTATTTACTTCTTTCGTACTCTTTCCTCATGGTTCTTGCTTGTACACCTGACAATGAGCCAAATCATCCCATTAGTCTTATTGCTGCCATCTGACACCTGATAAGGTGTTGCATCAAGGGAAAGGGCAACGTTTGGTCATATTGATCTTTCACCATCAGATTATTCAGGCTCAGCAGTGTCAAACCTCCTTTACCTCTACAAAGAAGGCTGCCACAAATTAAAGGAGACATGTCATGCTTTTCTGAGGTGTGTCTCAAGTGCCTGTGGCGTGCCTATTCTTCAAATACAAAAACTCAAAGAAAGCATCTTTATACTTAATAAAACTGGCATAGTACACAGGATTTTATACATTTGGTCACATAATTGGCCTATTTTCTTTTAAATTTGGCTCAGCCAAAGTGAAACAGGAAGTTACATCAAAGAACTCAATAAAACATACTCGCTGGTCTCTGTTTATTAATACAAAATCATTTAAACTTAAACTCTTCTTTGTCTCTCTCTGATAGCGACTAAAATAATCTAAAGAAACATCAGATTCTCAACGCTCTTTTCACATTCAGACATTCCCCTTGGATGTCACTTCCTGTTTCTTCACATGCAAATATCTCAACAACCGTTCATCTCAGTGACGTGAAATTTGTTTTGCAACACATTCCCAATGTTATCTTTCCAAAAATGTGTTCATATTTATTACAAATATTTTATATCACAGGCACTTTAAATCCAAATGTGGTGCTTCACACCCTGCCTCCCACCAGCTTTTAGACCAGTCCATTGTAAATTGAGAAAAACGTTTAAGACTATAGCAGCCCAAAAACATTTCCTTTACAAATTGATTAAAAGAGATCAACAATGAAAGACTTGTCCACCCAGCCTCACATGTTGGAGCCAGAGTCTGACCCGGAACCCGAGGAGAATGAAGACGACCAAATTGTAGATGGTAAGCCCAGACCTAATTACATTGCAAATTTTGTGATGTAATAGCTCAGAAAACAGAGAGATAATTGAACTGGTTGGAAAATATGACCCAAAACAAAATTAAAGAGATATATACACAGCACCAGGGAAACAAAATTCAACTTTATTACACTCTTAGAGACTCCAAGTACACAACAAAATTTATTTAATGGCTAAAAATGTACTTCACCTTTAACCATAAAAAAACTTATTGTAAATGTTTTTTTTCTTTATTTTGTCTGCCTTAAAATTAAAGCAAGTTCTTTTCTGACAAACTTAAAATAGTTTCTTAAAACCTAAAATGTTCAGTTTGTAGTGTATTAAAGACTCAACAAATGTTCTTTTAAGCACAAAATCTGAAAATGTTCCCAATATAAATGCAGTAGATCATTTATTTAAATCTGATCAATGTTATGACAGCAAATCTAAATATTATTATTTTAGTCTTAAGTCAAAACATTAAAAGTGAAGGTAAGTAATCTATCGTTTCCGGCCAACATTTCAGCTGAACTTTCCTGCGATTCCTGAATGTGTCAAAATTCTCTATAGGAACGTCTTTTTCTGTTATATTACCACTGAATTTCAATACAATCAACACAGACTGCCCGATCATTTGAGAGAGCAGCAGATAATGCATCGTCATCATTAGACTAATTTTCATTAGCCTAACATTCATGCTTTTGATGTGGGAGGAAACCCGTGAGATAAAACTTGCATATGCACAGAGAGAAAATCATTGAAGTTAACAATTATTCCTTTTCGAAAACAAATACAGGTGTTCCACAGGACTCATTTCTGGGTCCTCTTCTGTTTAGTATATATAAATGATTTGCCTGATTCATGTCCAGGCACAGGTTTTCAGATGCACGCTGATGTACATAGTTGTGTATGTGGCTGATAAAAACATCTCATCAGTATCTGCATGAAGCATCTGTCACTAATTGGATCAGCAATTGACACAGCTGCAATCATTTGAGTCCTCCTGGTGGTTCTACTATTTAAGGCGGGTCCAGTGAGCAGGTCAACGCTGATACATCGCTTCCTATGGGTAATGATTCTCAGCCCCCAGTCTTACTCTGTGATCTTGAACCTGTTAACCTTGTGCTTTTTGTGAAACCTGTGTTCAGTGAAACTTACCTGGAGATCATCAGGACTCTTGGACCTGTTTACCACCCGCCAGTATCAACA